CCACATAATGCTTTCCCTGTATATAATGTTTCTTTTCTATTTCTTCAAATTATAAATTTTTACTCATCTTTCAATTCTGAGTTTAAATGTCACGTTTTCTTTCTTGTTGTGAAACTGTCAGCTGTCACTTCCTATGCTGTCAGTGTATTGACTTCCATCATCAGATGCTTCTCCGCTCTTTGGATTCTTAACATCTGTCATTGCAGTGAACAAAAGCAAGGAATCATTCTAGACTATGAATAAATGGATTGTGAGGGGAGATATAAGGAGGTAGCTTTATTATTGTTATTTATTTTACGTTCTAATAATGAGTTCAGTCTTGATTTATGTTTGCACATAAATGGATCACAGGCAATGCTGGTTGATCACATATATTTACAAAGTACTAATTATTTTAAGTATTGAAATATGTTTATTGGTTTTGAAAATGGATCCATGAAGCACTATTTTTTTCTTTTACATAAATTCAATTTTTCTTATTTCTCTTTCAAAATACTTTCTTGAAAAAAAGTTAGCATATTTTCAAGTAATTTTTCCTCGGCATTTATTGATATTATTACCTAACAATATAAATTGCCATTCTATTAGATGGCATTTTATATTAAATTATTAAAATTATAGTTACATTTTTAATCTGTAAGAAATATCATACTATGAATAACATAAAAAGGACAGACTATATGCCACATGAAGGAAACCACTGATAATGTGGCTTTAGTAAATAATTAATAAAATAAGTAACATATATAAAGTTTTTATTTTACAAAAAGAACTGTCAAATGTTCTCTCATTTTTAACAAAGCATTACATAAACTTCTTGCTTGTATAAACCCTTGTGCTGTTGGATTTTATTAGTAGAGGAGTCATAATGTTTGTGCTTATATAAAAGAAGTCAGTGATATTATAACCTGTGATTTGCAAAAATGTTTTACTGTAAAATAAAACATTTGCTAATACATGCTAATGAGTATTCTATTAACTACAAATATGCTAACAGGCTAAATATTTAACTTCTATAATGTAAACAATGTGATTACAAGTCATAACATTATTTCTTATATTCTGAGGTAGAAAAATGGAATATTTATTAATTAATTCATTTCTTCTAGATAATATGTAGATTTTTCTTTGAGCAATTTGGCTTAATAAGTAACATCCTAATTAATTTTTTGTAAAGGCAATTTATTTTTATTTATTATTTCTCCATTAGATTGAAATGGCATAAGAGGCAATTTCTCTTTATTCCTAGTTTGTTGAGCGTTCTTAACATGAAAGGGTTCTAAATTTTGTGAAATATTTTGCCTACATCTATTAAGAAAGCCATGTGATTTTTATTATTTATTCTGTTAATGTGACATACGTGTCACATAAATTGAATTTTGTGTGTTGAACCATTCTTACATGCCAGGTATAAATTCCACTTAGATGTGATGTATGATCCTGTTAATGGATTCGGTTTGCTTGTATTATGTTGAAGATTCTTGCATTTATATTCATCATGGATGTTGGTCTCTAGTTTTCTTATGGTATCTTTGTCTGGCTTTGGTATTATGGTAATACCGATCTCACAGAATGTGTTTGGAAGTGTTCTCTCCTCTTCAGTATATGTAAGTTTGGGATAGATTGACTCTTGTTTGAGTGTTTGTGCTAATTTACCAGTGAAGTCTTCTGACTCTGGGCCTTTCTTGTTTGCATTGTATTGACACATAATAATTGTACATATTTATGGAGTACAATCTGATGTTTTTATACTTCTATGTATTACAAAATGATCAAATAAGGTAATTAATCACCTTAGACCTTTATTATTTCTTTGTTATGAGAACATTCAAAATCATCTCTTCTAGCTATTCAAAATTCACAATTCATTGTTGTTCATTATAGTTACTGTGCAATAGAATACTAGAACTTATTTATCATATCTAAGTAGCATTTTACCATTAATCAGCTTCTCTCTATCTATGCTTTCTCATTATTCTTTCTAATCTCTGGTAATCACTATTTTACTCTCAACTTCTATGAGATAATTTTTTTAGATTCCACACATAAGTCAGATCATGAGGTATTTTTCCTTCTGTGCCTGGCTTATTTTACTTAACATAATGTCTTCCAGGTTAATTCATATTGTCACAAACAATATGTTTTCATTTTTTTATGGCTAGATAGTATGTATCCATTGTGTATCACCAAACATACTCCATTTTCTTCAGCCATTTATTCATTGCTGAGCATCTAGTCTGATTTCATATTTTGGCTACAATAAACATGAGAATGCAACTATCTCTTCAACATAATGATTTCATTTTCTTTGAATATACACTTGGTAGTAAGATTGCTAAATCATATGGTAGTTTTAGTTTTAATTTTTGAGGAACATTCATAATGTTTTTCACCATGGCTGTGTTAATTTACACTGCCACCATTAGTGTATAAGAATTCCCCTTTATTCACATCCTCAGCAGCATTTGTTATTTTTGTCTTTTTTTGATAATAGCCATTCTAACTGGGGTGAGATGATATCTCATTGTGATTTTGATTAGCATTTCCTTGATGGTTAGTGATGTTGAACATTTTTCATATACCTGTTAGTTCCTGGGCTTTTTTTGTTGGCAAGTTTTGATTACTGATTCCAGAACTTAAACAGACTTATAGACAATCTGGTGCTAGGTTAGATATGATTATGTTCAGACTTTATATTTTATTAATTACTTAGTCTTGGTAAGTTGTATATTATTATTACTGTCTATATACACAGATATATGCTTGTATGTTACTCTGAAAATAATTTCAGAGAGAAAAAACAAGCGTGATATATTATTGCTTAAAATGATTTTATCAGTTTATCCGCAATACTGGGTTCAGATAACTCAATAATATGATTATTGGCATAATGTGTATGAATAAATAAAGCAACTTGAAGTCAATGTTTCTTTTAAAACAACAGAAAGTAGAAGGGTGATGTCATTTTTATTTGTAAAATAAATGTGTCGGGGACTGTGTCTTACATGAAGATGCCCAATAAGTAAAAAGTAACTGCAAAATACATTTAGTTGCATTTGAATAATATCTTAAGATTATAGCATGCTTCTTTTGAGTAAGATCTTCAATTTAAATGAAACATAGAAATAAATGAGGTTCAGATTTCATGAAGTGTTTAGGATGATAAAAACTTCTGAGTGAATAATTATTTCACTTCTGGGTGCCTTTGCAAGTGAAATTGTCCAATACTTGTCATTTTTAAATGCTCCTATTGGTTAATTTTTACATAGCACAAGATTGAGAGCCAGCAGAAAACTTTGAGTTAATCAAGCAAAGTGACGTTACATCCATAAAGGGAACACTTGGGCAATCAGAAGCATTTTATCATGGCAGGCATTATGAGAACATAAACAGCTTTAAAAATATGTCCCCAGGATTTGAGATAAGTTTAGACATCATATTTAGAGTTATTAAAATATATTAGAACATGAAATCATAAATATAAGACCTGATTGATTTTATATGCTAAGTAATAATGTCTTTCTATGCACTTGCTTATTTAGAAATGAAAATTATAGAATTGTCTATCAATATATTATGCATAATGTCCGTAGTAAAGGAAAGATTTCATCTAATTTTTAAAAACAGAAGCCAATCATGTCCTCGCTGTACTCCAGAGCCACTTATGACTTCTTGTTTCATTCAGGAGAAATGTCTACCAGTACCTGTGTGAACAGCTGTTCACTCTGAAATACCTCCCACTACCTTCAATCTCTGCTCCAACTACTCTGGCTTCCTTGGCTCCTAAAACTTTTTTCAGTCAGCCATTGAATCTTCTCCTCCAGATGCTACTGAATTCACCTCCAATCACTATCAGCATCTTTAAGTTTTTGTGCAAACATTGTTTTCTTCTTGAGATCTTTTTGGGTCATTTATTTTAAATAAAAACCAAAATTTTGCATTCCCGACCCTGCTCTGGAGTCTATCTATGTCCACTACACTTAGCACTTTCCACAATTGTATATAAAATAATAACTGTATTATATATTAATATATTATTAATTATTATATGTTTATAAATAGTTGTATTATTTTGTGTATTACATCCACTCCAACCTCAGTCAAATTGAGTGTAGGGATTTTTTTTCCTGTTGGGTTCATGAACACATTCATTAAACTTTGGACAGTTTGTGGCACATACTAAATATTCAAAAATATGATAGTGAGCAAATAGATAAATAAATGAATGCAACGCTGCATTGTGATGAAATTTTTATGACTATGACCAAACAAGGAAGAGCTATTTTATTAGGATTAGACAATATATTTAAATCATTTGAGTACTATGTATGATGCAGAACTTATTTTCTTAGATTCCTGTCATAATTATCATTAACAAAATAACTATAGCAAAATTAGTGTATCATGTAAGTTTCAGGAATTTTTTTTATCATATTAACACCATTGCATCCTTTATTCCTGTAAAGACTTATCTTTAGCTGTGTTATAGACAATGATTCAGAAAGTTATGACAATCCTTGTTTGGATAGTCTCATTTTTCAGTGTTGTAAGCTGTGGGGATGGAACACAAGAAGCAGGCATGATTTACACATGGCCAAACCATTTGTTGAACAAGTAACTTCTTTTCTAATTATAGTCATTTTCTTATATCTCATTCTATATTTTAATACTTCTCAATATTCATTAAACATAATGTATTAGTATTATTTATTTCTGCAAATAGACAATTTAAATCTATGCAACTTTCTAGATACAATAAGGTTAGAAAATTATAGTTGTTTTAATTTCTTCTTGTATACTGCATTTTAGAATAATAGGAATTCCAGGTATCATTTATAAAGCATTTATAGAGCATATTTAACAAAGTCTCCCTGTGAAGTAATGTATTGCTAACACATTTGAGTCTCATGATTTGAAATTTAATTTTGAAGACATTTTCTTTTCTATGTTTTGTCATCTAGACTATCATGTTAAATCACATTTCCCAATTGTGTTTTTAGGTTGTATTCAATTGGAGGGCGTGATGGAAGTTCCTGTTTGAGCTCAATGGAATATTATGATCCTCATACAAATAAGTGGAACATGTGTGCTCCCATGTGTAAGAGGAGAGGGGGTGTAGGAGTGGCCACATGCGATGGTTTTCTTTATGCAGTAGGAGGTCATGATGCTCCTGCTTCAAATCACTGCTCCCGGCTACTAGATTATGTAGAAAGGTAAGACACCCAAAGCACTTTACAGTGGAAAAGACAACACAAATTACATCGATGCCTATTCAAGTGACTATAAAATTTTCATAATTTAGAACAGGTAAATACAACTCCTAGAGCTACTCCCCACCCCCACTGTCTTCCTGCAAACACACACACACTTTCTATTTTTCTTCTTTCTTAATCCCTTCAACTAATATTTACTTAAAGTCTTAAACAATATTTTTTCACAAGATACTTAAGTAATCTTTAAATTTCTCCTTGATATATTTTTTAAAGTTTAGTTAAAACAAAGTTTTAAGTAATTTATTAAACGTGAATGCTAATTCTTTTGTAAAATATTGGAAATGTTGTTTATGCAATCTCCTTGTCCTGTCTTGTTTGTTGCACTAGATCATCAACTGTCAAAGGTAAATTATGAGCTTCTTTGTGTTTTATGACATACCTTTCTTAACATGAGGCCAATTTATTAGAATTAAGTTTTTTAATAATCCTGGTATATGAAGGCAACATGGGCTCTCTTTTGACTTCCTAAAGATAACCAGGTGCACAGATCCTGGAGTGGAACGATACCTTGGCTTCAGACTTAGTAAAACAATGCAGGTACTTCTTGGCATGCCTATAGCTGACTTCTCTTTTGTCTGTGCAGCACTTTGATCCATTATGTGTTGTGTGTAAGGACTGAAGTGATCTTAGTAAGACTCGTGGTGGTATCTCCTATTATATAAAGATACACAACGATCTACAGGGAAATGAGAATAGGAAATATTTAGGTCAATTGGTTCATCAGTTGGGATGGGAGACTTAACTCTGCTGTAACAAATAACTTTAAACCACTCCATGGATAAATACCAAGATGCTTTTTTCTTACTCATTCTACATTTTCATGATATTATCACTTGGGTGCTCACACTGACATGTAAGCTAAAATATTGAGCATTGTTGGTCTCCATGTCAAAAAAAAAAACCCAGAAAGTAGCAAATTGGTCACTGGTCCTTAAGAGATTCTGTCTGTGAGTAGTATTTTTATTTTGTTTATAATTCAATAACAAACAAGCCACATGGACATGGAAAACTTCACCAGGTGAGAGGTATCCTAACTTGTACCTGGGAGAATGTTTGGTGGACAGCCCTAATGGCAAAATAATTTTCCTCTTCATGTGAAAAAAACCACATCGTTTATACTCATGCCTGTAAGTGGTATAGTCAGTGAGAGAAAAATACTCCTTCTCATTTATAGTTATTTTTTCTAAGGATATGCAGTTATTTTTACTGAGGATAAATTCATTGGCAAGAGATAGCTTTTGGTAAACAGACTATGTTCACACTTAAGGCAGTGTTTGGATAAAATATAGAAGCAGTGTTGAACAATATTGCTACTCTGTGAGATGGACTGTACTTACATGGCTACGTGCACATTGAGAAGAGCATTAGCCACACTGTATTTTCAATTTACCATTCTCTAGCCCACTGAAATCTAGAATTATAGATGTTGCCATGAAGACAATAGTCAGAATTCAATAAATAAATTTATACTTTCATACACACAAACATTCAATAATTTATTTCAAAAATATTGCGAACAGCCTGACAGCTCATTTACATTTTCTCTGTTAAATTCTTGGGAAAATGAAGAGAGAAGAGGAGTATGACGTGACTCTTGCTTTTACCTTGAATATCTTATATAAATGCTGCTAATGAAATGATATTTCAACCAAATAGTCTTATCTAACTCAACTGTATAATGTATTAAAATGCTGTTTGTGAGCAGAAGCATAAATAATTCAGTCTAGGAATACATTTATATTGCAAAATTATATTCAAATAAGCATAGCTATTTTAAGTTATAAGAGTGCAGCGTATATGAGCAATTTAAGTAATGCAGAAGCACACAGCATAACCATCATTCTTATCCTATCTCATACTACCTGTCAGATTGATAGCATTTTTGTACTTTCTAGTGCATATTTTCTATATTGATGATCTCACATGTAAATCATCAATAAGTCAAGATATACAACAGTGCCTCTTAAAGTATTTTGCACATAAAATGTAAATAAGTTTTTAAATATGTATCATAGGCAAAGAGATAATTAGAAATCTCAAGAATAGTGTACAATGCTTTTTTTGTAGAAAGCAGCAAGATAGATCAACTTCTATTACATCATAATAATGTCTTATGAAAATGGAAAATATTATACAATGGTGGTATTAAGTACAGTTAGAAAATACTTATCAAAAATTGTTCACAGGCAGGCTATCTTGAGCACAGACAACACTGGTACCTCAAATCAGGGCAGAAAAGAAAGCAGGGACTAAGTGAGAAGGAAGACTCTAAAATAATTTATGGAACAAATGTGAATTAATTTTGTGACTGAGCCTCAGGCTCGTAAGAGCAGCTTGGTGGACAAAACCTGTGTCCAAAATGTGCATTGAGTGCTAGGATAAGTTAAGATGTGCCTCATTAGACAAAGAACATTCATCCATCTACCTAGTCAGTAAATATTGTTTTTATGTATGTTGCCCTATCTGATACAGTGCTTACAATATTGGAAGAAAGGGACAAAGAAATACATAGAGCTTTAAGATCACAAACAAAACTGGAACCAGGGCAACAGATCAGATTATATGCCCAAAGGCATCAGTACTGCTACGATTTAATACTAGGTCATGACCGCCTTTGCCCTCACATCTGCATCCCAGTAATGAGACCCGGTGAGAGAAGGGAGTCAATATATGTGCCTCCTGCTGGGTTCGGTGGCTCAGGCTGTAATCCCACGCCTTTGGGAGGCTGAGGTGAGTGGATTGCCTGAGCCCGCGGGTTCGAGACCCGCCTGGGCAGCGAGACGTCTCTCTACAATAAATCAAAAAATCAGCCGGGCGTGGTAGCACATGCCTGTAATTCCAGCTACTTGGAAGGCTGAGGTGGAAAGATCGCCGGAGCCCAGCAGGTCGAGGCTGCGGTGGCCGGGGGCGGCCACTGCACTCCAGTCTGGGCGACAGAGTGAGACTCCCAACTCAATAAAAAAAAAAAAAAAATGCCTCCTAAACTGAGTTTTGTAATATCCACTTCTGCTTCTACTAATTTACTGTCCTTATTGTTGCAAGAGAGATCATTTCATAATGTTGGTTTGACCTGGAAGAACAATGGAGAGGTTTTTCTTTGTGACAATAATCAGTACCAAAATTAAAATTATTTTTCATCAATTTTTTCACTAAACTTGGTTCCATGTGCTGCAGTGACCAAGATTGTTTGCCCCTCTATATTGCTGCACACGGTCCAATTCCCGGCACAGAGTAAGAGCCTAACGAGCATTTATTGAACTAGTCAGACACTATGAAAAACAGACTTCAAGTTTCCCACCAAGAAAAAGTATCTTGAGAAAAAAATATAAAGAGATGATTATAAAGATAAATTGATAGGTAAATTATAGAAGATAGATAGAAAGATATAGTGATAGAGGAATGGAATAATGGAAGAGTGGAATTATGGTTGGATGTTTGGATGGACTTATGGAAAGATAGATATATTAAGATGGATTTATATTTGTTTAGTAGTTCCAGATTTGCATTGTGGATGCTTATTTTTATTGTCTTCAACTGTCAGTCATTTCTGTATATTTTAAGTTTTTATTTAATAGAAAACTTTTGAGATAGGGATTGAAAAACTAAGCAACTGTTCAAATATTAGTTGAAAATTATATCTTTATGTATTTTCTGGGCACTATTAAATAATAAGTATCAAGATATTTGGATATACTATGAACAAATATAAATGAAAATATAAAACATTTATTCAAAGTCTACCAAAATCTACCTCAGTCATATCAAAAAAATATATCTCAAATAACAGTATTTTTGTCAAAATATGACTCAATAGTATTATTATCTTCAGTTTATTCTTTCTTTGATAAAAGTAAAATAAAAGTTAATTTTACTGCCAGACCTAAAGGGATAGATAGATACTTTAATTAATTTTTAAAAACATTACTGTAAACATCAATATATGAGGCAATAAGGTTAGGAATTTAGGATTATTTGTTTATCTTGGCATCTCATTTTATCAGTTTGGTTTAGACATACTTCAAGAATTTGCATTTCTAGACTAGGAAGAGAGATGATAAAATAAAAATGAATTTTAACTTAAATGATTGATGTTTATCCTGTTTTGATATGCATGAAAGCCTAAGTTTTCTACACAAGCAATAATTATTTGGATTGTTTAAATCAAATGTTAGGCAGGAGATTTTGATATCTTTAATAAGGTTTGTTCTTGTCTTCCTCCCCCTCCCTCTCCCTCTGTCTCCCTTCTTCCTTCAAGATATTATTGCTGGAGCCAGATGGATGAGTGTAGTATAAAGAGATTAACTAGTTTGCTATTGTATATTCATAACTTTTGCTATTGGTTAACATATTATGTACAAATTTCTTACAGATATATAGAATATGAGGATCTATGACAACCTAAGTACTAAGTATTGAATGCAACAATTGTTAACTAATATTTACCTTAATGGCTTATAAGGAGACACAGAAGAAAATTGGCAGGATAACCTACTTTGGGAAATTATGCTCAGAATTCTGACATCATGGTTGTTGTGGAAAGGCAAACATGCATGAGAAGATGAAGCATGCCATTGCCTATATTGGTGGAAGGATATCAACCCTGATATCAAATTATAAAAATTCACTTTCATGTTTGTAGAGGCTAATTAAAAAGATATAATTGGATCCATAGTGCTAATAAGGGTTTTCTGTCATATTAGAAGTGATTACATAAATAATCTATTGCTCTTTAGCTATTAACTGTTAAGAGGTATTCATTTTTAAAAGTTTATTTTAACCAGCATTCAGATTTCTGTGTTCTGTTGATTGACAATAGTTCAATTAATTTGTGAAGTTCTAGCCGGGCTTGGTGGCTCAGCCTGTAATCCCGCGCCTTTGGGAGGCTGAGGTGAGTGGATTGCCTGAGCCCAAGGGTTCGAGACCCGCCTGGGCAGCAAGAC